ACACAAAGGCTCTTTTCAGAGCCACCCACGCTTTCAACGGAAGAGCCTGAATCGCTCTTTATTCTGGTGCTGCAGTCGCGACAAAGGTAGTGGAGGGTGGCTTTTGCCGCTCGTAGCCTCTGCGGTACTCCCAGTCTCACAACGCCGCCCAAATTTGCAATGAGCGGCAAAAAATGCGTCTCCGTTGCATTCTCTGGGAAAAATCCCAGGGAAGGGCTGTAGCGGTAAATTTCTGGGGCTTCCCGGGTTTCGTAAAATGTATTGGGTTCTAAAAGAGAGTGCATCCTTTGTCCTCGACCTTCCAGCCCCCCGGGGTCCGCCTTCGGGAAGGGGAGGGGGGGAGAGACAGGCAGGCGACAAAGACGACGGCAAGGACTGCTGGACCGCTGCTTCCCAGCCACAAGGCTGCAGAGCAGCGGCCTCAGACGGGAAGCTCGGGGAATGGCGCCGTTCCCCCCTCTGCCACTCGAGGAGCGGGGCGCGGGGAGAAGCAGCAGCCAGAGGCTCCCCAGGGACTGCAGAGGAAAGAGGCTGCGAACCTGGTGCGAAAATGCTTCCCCTTGCGAAATTTCTCTCTGCCCGCTGAAAGGCTGCCGGTTCTCTAGACACTGCTCTCGACCCCATTCACCACCTCCACCCCCCCAGCACCCTTAAACAGGAACATCAGGACCACGCAAACGAAGCGGGGCCCTACTGCTACCCGCGGCACCAACCTGCCCCCGTTATCCCCGAGCGCGGAAAAGCGCGCTCAGCACAAGCTGCCTACACCTGCTGCAAAAAACCAAGACTCAGCTCTCCCCGGTGGCCGTGTGGTGGCTCTTAAAAGAGCCTTTGGGTTTGCTGGGTGCCAAGGCAGCTCAGGCGCGCTCCCCGCGGATGCGGCGGGCCAGCTGGATGTCCTTGGGCATGATGGTGACGCGCTTGGCGTGGATGGCGCAGAGGTTGGTGTCCTCGAACAGCCCCACCAGGTAGGCCTCGCTCGCCTCCTGCAGCGCCATCACGGCCGAGCTCTGGAAGCGCAGGTCGGTCTTGAAGTCCTGCGCGATCTCGCGCACCAGGCGCTGGAAGGGCAGCTTGCGGATCAGCAGCTCCGTCGACTTCTGGTAGCGCCGGATCTCGCGCAGCGCCACCGTGCCGGGCCGGTAGCGGTGCGGCTTCTTCACGCCGCCCGTGGCTGGCGCGCTCTT